TTCTACCAAAGAAAGTTCCAATATCAACAGTATTAGAAGAGATAGCCAAAGGAAAAAATAAAGGCTCAAGCTCTGAAGAGAGCTTTAAAATCACCAAGAAATTGGGCAGGTGTGAACATGCTTAAATATTCATAAGTGACAATAACATGAACAAACCAGACACAGCTGTGTAGACTGGGCTGATCCTGAAAATACTAGCATTGGCAACTGAGTCAGGTTGGACTTAGGTACCCATCCACTCCCCTGACAGCAGCCCACCCCTATTCTCCAAGGGTCTCATCTAGACTCATGCACACAAAGTATGAGGGGATAATTTAATAGTTTCTAGCAAAACTTGCATGGAAAAAACATCATGAATCAAAAGAATTAAACTGTCAAAGTTGAATAAAGGGCTCGTTTTCTCACGTTTTATAGTAAAGAATCATATCTGATCTCTTATAACTTCCAGTCACATCACACAAACAGCCACTCTCTTGATACTGTGTGGGGCTGTGTATGAGCATGAGTGTGTATGTGCATGTGTGTGTGCCCATGTATATGCTTCAGCACATGCTTACCTGCATAATAAGACACAGGAGAGGTAGGACAGTGGAAAGATCAAGAAGTATTGAGGATTCCTGGCATAAATAGAATGAATGGAGCTGGTTTAATTCATTTTCGAGAGGACTTCAGTGGGCTTTTCTAAGAAGAGGCAAGACATAATCTAGAAAAACACAGCAGAGATGACATTCTGAGCATGGGATCTATGGTGAGCCATAAAACATGCTTTAGAGATGAAATAAGCAGACCTGTATTTGAGTCCCAGAGAAATAGCTATTCTTCCCATTACATAGATTAGAAAACTGAGAGTCATAGAGGTTACTGACCCTAGATTTTACAGCTCATATGAAGAACTGGTACTCAAAGAAGTAGGCTCAGTAGTAGGCAAAGATAGGAATATACCCAGAAGGATTGTCCAGCTCAGAGGCAGAACATACTGGGACCACAGGAAATTCAGATGGTGGCTGAGTCCCCACTGAAGGAGAGTAACCAGAACTCTTGAGCACAGAATCAGACAGCTGGTCTTTACTAGGTGCCCTGGGCTGCCATCTCACCAGGGAAAAAGCATAAGGCAACAGTGAAATGAAAAGAAGTTGGTGGGCATTCTGGAAAATGCCATCAGTTGAACCTGTCCCATCTCTTCCTTGCTATACTACACTCCAAATAAAAAAGAAAGAGCTTAATCACCTGTAAAATAGGCACTCAACTCAATTTTCCCATGTAGATCTATAAACCCAGCCCCTCCCTTTCCATTCCCTCTTCCTCAGCCCACCGGAACAGGGCTGGAGACAGTCATTTCTTAGAAACACTAAAAATATATATTACATCATTCCTCCCCCATAGCCTTCAACCCCCAACAAAAAGCCAAGTAATTTGAGCCCCTCTGCAAAGCCTGCCATAGCCTCCCTTTGAGGTCTGTGTTTTCCCTATTTATTGTACCTGGGAGACTGACAGACATATGTTTTATGATACATTATATATTAGGCTTGGCTAGAGGCTCCATTTCCATTAAAGATGACTAAAGTACTAAGTTATAACTATGTGGACTGCTCCTGCCATTTGCCTTCTGAAGCTATTCTCTGAGCTGTATTTCTGTCTTTTACTGTGACATTTGCTCACAAAATGAACGGAGTTTGGCCATTAAAAACCAAAGACCCTGCTTCTACAATATTTCTTAGAACTGAGCTCTAGAGCCCTTTTCCTGAATTCCTCCAGTTCTTGGTTCTGACAATTTCCTGAAATAGATGAGTGCTCCCCAAAGCTGCAAAATCACATCTCTCTTTAAAACACCAGCTAAAACTGAAAAAGATAAAATAAAAAACAGATCTACTTTTCCAAAATGGGGTTATGTGAGTCGCTGCTCCCTTCAGGCAATTGTTTGGCAATTGACATGTGGTTTCTGCATACTAATTGGTTAAATGCTCAACCTCATTCATACAATACTTGTGGAAATTGCTATTTTTTTAATGTTGGTTTTTAAAATTTAGAATGATGCCTTTAGATCAATTTAGATACCATGTTATTGCACAGGTAATCAATAAAATAAGGAAAAGATGGTGATAAAAGTAGAAACAACATAAAAAAAAGCGAACCTTCATTAGCATTATAACCTATGAATTATAAGTGGTAAGGGGGAAAAATAACGTCATTTATCCTGTGCAAGAGTCACTGATTAATTGAAAATACACATCAAAGAACTTCATTTGCATTTAGCAGTTTTTGTACTCTGAGAAGCTTTATGTGGGAAGGGGTTCCCTATTGAACACACACAGACATATATAGACCCCTCACAATGCTACAGGAGCCATCATTTCCTCCAACTATGAAGGATGTCCAGCTTCATGGATATATTTACAGACTGGCCCAGAGAGACCACTGAGTTGAACAGTGGACACACAGACAAAGAAGTATTTCTAGATATACAAGTTTGTAGAGAGGATGAGAAATATATTCCTTAGTAATTTTTTTTAAACTGGAAGTGTCCCTCACAGGTGTTTTTCCATCTTCTCATTTCCCACAGTTAATGTTTTAGGAAGGAAAATGTTCCCCCTGATTTCCCATCATGAAGACTGTTACTCAGTTGGATGTGTTGCACCCCCATACACACCAACCTTCACATTTAATGCCACAGGGAATGGCAAAATTCTTTGGCATTGATTGCTCATCCTCTCTCTAAATACAGGATGTTCAATCTCTTTGTAAGTTTCCTTTTGAAAGTTGATGAGATGTTATGGAGGCATATCACTGGAACTTGCTCCACCCTTGCCCTGCCCACAATGAGCAGACACTACTCTGGATATGAACCACTATTTCTAAGAAGCATTCCAATTTGGGTGTTGTGTGTGGCAAATACAGCCTCACAAGACTATTACCAGGGCAGGACTTCCAGAATAGCTAAGCAAGGAGCTCACCAAATCCTCATCCCAAAGTAACAATAAAACTGAATTAAATTGTCAAAAACAACCATTTCAGGAATCTGGAAATTGACCAAAAACAAAAAAAAAAAATGAGAAGCATTTATTCAACAAAAATGATTGAATCGCATAAGAATACAGAGGGATTGGTATTTTTGTCCAAGACTGTTTCATGCTGTTCCACCCAGCTTCATGCCACTGTAGTTCTACCAGGACAGGGCAGGCCTTGAGGACAAGCAGCTCTACAGCTTCAAGAGTTAATGTGATATGGAACGAAGGATGGAAAAACTCATGCCCGAGGGCATGGTTGAAAGCAATAGCAATCTTGGGGGCAAACAGTTGGAAAAAAAAAAACAAAACCATAGCTATCCTGAGGTTGCCTTACTGGCTGGGCCAAACATCATACCAGCAGACGAACAAGAAATGTATCAGCAAGATCCAGGGATCAAGACAGCCAGAGTAGGCCTGAGTAAGTTCCCACATATCCCTAGCAATGTGGAAGGCTGCATGTGTACACATGGCTGTGCTTATGCTCAGGAAAGACTGAAGAGGGTCTTCATCAGCTGCTCGTCCCAGAACGAATGTGAGACTCTAAAAGCACAGAAAGTAAAGACTGACAGACTTGCAAACCGCCTAAACTTTCAATGCCATTTTCCAAACCACACACAGATCCATCAGCATATGGTAAAAGCCTTATTGGCTCAAGGTGTTTGAATCTTTGGCTGACCACTATGCAATGCTGACCCAGACGTGACTCCAAAAAAAAAAAAAACAGGCTTAAAAATAAGATCAAGAATTTTTTTTTAATTGAGTGGAGACATCAGTGGCTGCACACTGTTGGAGAGACAGACAGTATATAGTTATTTCAGTAAATAAATAACAATAATAGCAAATAACAAATAAATAATAAAATAAATAACAAAAACAGCAACAACAAAATCAGGGGAGAGGAATCAGAGTCCAGAGTTGCTATAATATATTATCAAAACTGTCCAGTTTTCAACAAAAAATTACAAGACATGCAAAAAATAAAAACAGGATAGTGTGACTCATACACAAGAACAAAAAAAGCAGCCAACAGAAACTCTCTGAAAGACCCCAGGTGATGGACTTACCAGGCAAAGACTTCAAAGTAGGTGTTGTTAATATGTTCCAAAAACATAAAGGAAAACCTCTTTAAAGAATCAAAAGAAAATACAGTCCCAAGAAAAAATAAAAAGTATTTGAAGTGAGAGATTTCTCAATTACCCTGATTTGACCATTACACATTGTATGCTTGTATCAAAATATCACAAGTACCCCATAAATATGTACAACTATTATGTAATCATAGAAATGTAAAAGATAAAGAAAATATAACAATGACTCATCAAATACAGACTATCAAAGAGAAATTATTTTTAAATGACCATTTTTAAATTCTGGAGTTAAGAATGATAACAGAAATAAAAAATTCACAAACAGGCTCAACAAGATATTTGAGTGGCAAGAGAAAGAATCAGCAAATTTGAAGATAAATCACTATAAATTGTTCAATCTGAATGATGGAAAGAAAAAAATAATGAAGAAATATTAGCAGAGCCTGAGAGACCTGTGAGATACCATTAAGTATTCCAAAATATGTGTACTGGGAGTTCAAAAAGAAGAAAAGAGAAAGGGGCAAAAAAAAATGAAGACATAATGTCCCAAACCTCCCCAAATGGATTAAAAACATTAATCTACATACCCAAGAAGCATAATTAATTCCAAGTAAGATGAACTAAAAGAATTTACAGAGACACATCATAGCCAAGATGTTGAAAGGCAAAGGCAGAGAAAATCTTGAAAGTAGGAAGAGAAAAGCAATTCATCACAGACAAGTAAAACGGAGGCTTGATAGATTAGCAGCTGATTTCTCTTCAGAAATAATGGAGACTCAGAATGCAGCGGGATGACATATTCAAAGTATTGAAAGGCACAAAAGGGCATAAGACAAATAGAAAACAAATGGAAAAATATGAGATAAAATATAAATATATCAATAACTACAATAAAAATCAAACGATTGTGCTCACTTCAGCAGCACATACCCTAAAACATCAATGATACAAAGAATATTAGAATGGCTTCTGTGCAAGAATGACATGCAAGTTCATGAAGTGTTACACATACTTTTGAGTTTTTAAAAAAATCCAATCCCAAAGGGTTACATAATGAGTAGTCCTATTTATATAACATTTTTGAAATGACAAAATTTTAGAAGTAGATGCCAGATTAGTAGTTTCCAGGGATTAGGGATGGGGCAGGGGTGTGGGTGGCAGGGATGTGGGTAAAATTATGAAAGGGAAATATGAGTGATACTTGTGGTGTTGGAACTGTTCAGTACCTTTACTGTGGTGGTGAATACACTATTCTACACAGGTGATAACATTACATATAACTTAATAAACCCCCGTTCCCCACAAGAAAACAAACACACACACACACACACACACACTCATGCACACACATGCGCGATTACAAATGAAGCTAGGGAAATAGAAATAAGAGCTATGAATTATACCAACAACAGTATCCAAATTATAATATTATACTATAGTTTTGCAAAATGTTACTGTTGGAGAAAACTAGGCAAAATGTACCAGGGACTGTTCTGGGTTATTTCTTAGTACTATACATGAATATACAATTATGTCAATAAAAATTTTAATTAAAAAAAGTAAAAGGATTAAACATCCAAATTAAAAGGCAGACACAGTTATACTGGATATAAAACAAGACCCTACTATATGCTGCCTGCAAGAGAAACACATAGATTCAAAAACACAAAAAGTAAAAGTTGAAAGTAAAAGTACAAAAATTATACCATGCAAATAGCAATCATGAGAGAGATGAAGTCACTATACTAGTAACAGACAAAACAGACTTTAAGATAAAAAATATTGCTTCAGACAAAGAACATTTTACGATTATAACGGGTTAGTTAATCAGGAAGATATAACAATTGCAAAGTATACACATTCCTAACAACAGAGCTCTAATATACATGAAGCAGAAACTTACAGAATTAAAGTAAGAAATAAAAAATTTCACAAGAATAGTTGAAGACTTCTATAGTCCACTCTGTAGAATGGATAAAACAACTAGACATAAAATCAGCAGAGACAAAGAAGAATTGAACAACATTACCAATCAACTGGATCTAATTGACATCTATAGTACACCTCACCCAAAAATAGCAAAATATACATTCTTTTGAAGTACACAAGGAATATTCTTGAAGATAGACCATATGCCAGGTACCATGGTTTGAATATTGTTCATCCTCACCAAAATTGATGTTGAGGCTTGGTCTTCAGTGTGGTGATTTAGGGAGGTGGCACCTTTAAGAAATGAGTAGGTCACTAAAAGGGATTAATGCCTTTCTCATGGGAGTGAGTTCTCTCATGGAACTGGATTAGTTACCATGAGAGTAGGTTATTATAAAGTAAGGTTACCTCTTGTGTTTGGTTTCTTTGCACATGCTTTTTCACCTTCTGCTTCTCCACCATGTTATGATGCAGCATGTAGCCCTCACTGGAAGGCAACCAGATGCAGCCATCCAATCTTGAACTTCCCAGCCTCCAGAACTATCAGTCAAATAAACCCATTTCTTTATAAATTATCCAGTCTCAGGTATTCAGTTGTCACAGCAGAGAATGGATTAAGACACTTGGCCACAAAATCAAACTTAATAAACATAAAATGATTAAAACAATACAAAATATGTCTTCCAACCATATTGGAATCAAATTATGAATGAATTTAAAAACTGTGAAGTCAATAAATACTTGGAAATTAAACAACACACTTCTAAATAAGCCATGGGTCACAGAAAAATTGCAAGGGAAATCGGAAAGGAACCGAAGGAAAACAGAATCACAATATATCAAACTTTAAAACATAGAAAGAAAACTGTGTTTAGAAAGACCTTTATATCTGGAGACAACAGATGCTGGAGAGGATGTGGAGAAAAAGGAACACTTTTACACTGTTGGTGAGAGTGTAAATTAGTTCAACCATTGTGGAAGACAGTGTGGCGATACCTCAAGGCCTTAGAAATAGAAATTCCATTTGACCCAGCAATCCCATTACTGGGTATATATCCAAAAGACTATAAATCGTTCTACTATAAGGACACATGTACAGGAATGTTCATCGCAGCACTGTTTACAATAGCAAAGACCTGGAATCAACCCAAATGCCCATTGATAATAGACTGGATTGGAAAAATGTGGCACATATACACCATGGAATATTATGCAGCAATCAGAAATGATGAGTTTGTGTCGTTTGTAGGGACATGGATGAATCTGGAGAACATCATCCTCAGCAAACTGACACAAGAACAGAAAATGAAACACCGCATATTCTCACTCATAGGTGGGTGATGAAAAATGAGAACACATGGACACAGAAAGGGGAGTACTAAACACTGGGGTCTATTGGGGGGAAAAGGGGAGGGCCAGTGGGAGGGGGAGGTGGGGAGGGATAGCCTGGGGAGAAATGCCAAATGTGGGTGAAGGGGAGAAGAAAAGCAAAGCACACTGCCATGTGTGTACCTACGCAACTGTCTTGCATGCTCTGCTCATGTACCCCAAAACCTATAATCCAATAAAAAATTAAAAAAAAAAATAAAAAAATTAAAAAATTAAAAAAAAAATATGTAAAATCAGTAAAAAAAAAAAAAAAGAAAGACCTTTATATCTTCAAATGCCTATATTTAGAAAAAAGATCTCCAATGAATAGCCTAAACTTTTATCTTAATAAGTAAAAAAGAAGAGGAATCTAAACTCAAAGCAAGCAAAAAGAAGAAGTAATAAAGATCACAGTGAAAATCAATGAAATAGAAAACAGGAAACTATAGACAAAATCAATGATACCAAAAATTGGCTCTTTGCAACAAAATTGACCAAAAAATTAGATAAACTGAGCAAGAAAAAAAGGAGAAAACATAAATCGCCAAATTCAAGCATGAAAGGGAAAACATCACTACTGACCTTATAGAAATTAAAAGGATTAAATGAGAATACTATGAACAACTGTGTACCAGAAAATTCAACAATTTAAATAAAATGGACATATTCCCAGAAAGACATGAATCACCTGAACTAATGCAAGAAGAAATTTAAAAATATGACTAGACATATAACAAGAAATTGAATTAATAATTTTAAATCTTCCCACAAAGAAAAGTCCAGGCTAAGATGGCTTTACTGATGAATTCAATTAAACATTTAAAGAAGTTAAATCAATCCTTCATAAGTTCTTCCAGAAAATAGGGGAGGAGGAAACTCTTCCCAATTAATTTTCTGAGACCAGTATTACCTTGATGCCAATGCCAGACAAAAACATGACAAGAAAGGAGGACTACAGACAAATATACTTCATGAATAAAGATGCAAAATTTGTAATACAATTTCAGTAAGCTAAAATAACAGGAATGTGAAAAATATTAAACATCATACCAAGAGATTCTTTTAATTCCAGGAATGCAAGATTGATTTAACATGTGAAAATTGATGTAATGTATTATATTAATAGGATGAAGGACAAAAACCACAGGATCATCTCAACAAATTCAGAAAGAGCATTTTCCAATATCTAATATCCATTCATTATAAAAACTCTCAACAGACTATCATCTATGAAATATCTATAGATAAAATCATACATAATGGTGAAAGACTGAATGTTTCTTTCCAAGACTAGGAATAAGGCAAGGATGTTCACTCTCATCAGTTCCATCTAACATTGTAATGGAAGTCCTAGCTAGTACAATCAAGCAAAAAACAAAAAGAGGCATCCAGGTTTGAAAGAAAGAAGTAAAACTATCTCTGTTCCCAGTTTACTGAGTTTATCCTACTTGGAGTTTGTTGAGTTTCTTTGATATGCAGATTTATGTTTTTCATTATTTCTCAGATATTCTTTCTTCCCCTGTCCTTCTCTCCCCTTTCAGACTCCCATTATATGTATGTTAGTACACAGGTCACTGAGACTCTATTCATTCTTATTCATTATTTTTTCTTTCTGTTCCTCATTTTCTCTTCTGCCAGCTCAAATGTGCTATTGAGCCCCATTAGTGAATTTTTCATTTCAGTTGTTTTACATTTCAACTCCAGAAGTTTTGTTTGGTTCCTTTTTATAAAAGCATACCTCAGAGATATTGCAGGTTTAGTTCTAGATCATCACAACAAAACAAATACTATGATAAAGCAAGTCACATGAATTTTTGGTTTTCCAGTGCATATAAAAGTTATGTTTATACTATACTGTAGCCTATTGTGTGCAATAGCATTATGTCTAAAAAATGCATATTAATTTAAAAATACTTTATTGCTTTAAAAGTGCTGGCAGAGACACAAAGTAAGCACATGCTGTTGGAAAAATGGTGCTGATAGACTTGCTCAGTGCAGGATTGCCAAAAACCTTCCATTTGTAAAAAATTCAGTATCTGCAAAGTGCAATAAAGTGAAGTGCAATCAAATGAGGTGTGCTTGTAATTTCTATCATCTATTTTAAAGTTTTCATCTACAAAGTCAAACATCTGGGATTCTTTGGGGACAGTTTCTGTTGATTGTCATTTTTTCTGCTCTGTATGGGCCATATTTTCTTGTTTCTTTGCTTACCTCATAAATTTTTGTTGAAAGCTGGATATTTTGAATATTGTAATATGGCAACTCTGGAAATCAGATATTCCCTAATCCCCCTTATTGATGTTACTGCTTGTTGTTTTTCTAACAACTTTACTGATAGAATTCTGTAAAGTCTATACTCTTTGTTACGTTTGGTCACTGAGGTCTCTGTTCTGTCAGCCTCGTGATTAGCCAACAACTGTACAGAGATTTCCATAAATGCCCGCAACCAAAAATTCTCCCACTGTTTGCAGAGGGGTTCTCTGTGCATGTTGATGCATGTCTTCAACATTCAGACAAGCAGTGTATGACACTACCTTGGTCTTTACCTCTGGTTTATGCAGAGCCGCAAGGTTGGCCAGGGAGGTGAGCTTAGGGCTTTCTCAGGTCTTTTCTGAGCATTCACACAGACTTGGACTTGAATGCAGCCTTCTAGTTTCCCAGAAATATGTTGGAAGTTTTCAAAGCCCTTATTCTCCTACACATCTCAGACTTTCCTC